TCTCAATTTAAGTCAAGATTGTTTTAGGTGTTTCCATAGAAGGACATGACTACACAACCAAGAAATTTAAATTTTACTTGCATTGGTTGGACTAACATTTTGTTTGGTGAAAATAGTCACCTACAGAGTGCTCAAGGTTAAAAAAAATTTTAGAGGTGCATTTTTGTCAACTGACCACCAAAAATACCACATTGTGAAAACTGTTTCAAATTTTGTAAAAATAAATGACAAGCTCTAATTTTTCATCAGAAAGCCATGAAAATTAAACTTGACTTTTTGTTTAAGTGTACTGAAAACCAAGTTTTAAGTTTCAAAAGTAAGTGACAAGTTTGAGGGCTCTTTTTTTTCTTTTTTTTTTTTACAGGCTTCTCTGTATATATTCCTGTTTGTAATATATCTGTGTTATTCTATACCTGTGTTCGCATTCTTTATTGGTTCTACCTTGGACTATCACTGTGGTACAAGGAACCGGACCATAACACATGCCTGCTCCTGCAAATGTATCACCCCTACAATCATTTTGGGGGTTAGTAAATTATTATAGCAATTACATCCCAAAGATGCACACATTAAGAGCACCATTAAAAAAACTTCTTAAAAAAGACAAAAGATTGGTCGGTTGATTGTCAAAGGGCTTTCAATAACTTAAAAACAGCATTGATGTCAGACCTAACTCTCACACATTACAACCCTAATAAAGAGATTTATGTGGCAAGTAATGCTAGTAATCTGGTTTTAGGGGCACAAAGAAAAAGATGGTCAGTTAAAGGCCATATATTATGCTTCGAGTACTTTTCTCCCAGCAGAAATTAATTATTCACAAATTGAAAAATAGGGGTAGGCATGATATTTAAGAAATTTCACAAATACATACATGGAAGAGAGTTCATTCTTTAAACTGACCACTGCCCTCTACTGTCTATATTTGGCTTGAAAAAAAGGAATTCCCACACATTCAGCTAATCGCCTCCAAAGATGGGGTCCCATCTTCTTATATTACTCTTTCAAAATGGAGTTTTTACCATCTAAGAAAATAGCACATGCTGATGGTTTGTCTAGGTTAATTCTCAAAATAAGAGAACCATTAGAATTAAGAAGCCAAGCAGAATTGATACTGTGGATGAAGAATTACAAAAATTCTCGTCCATATATCGCATGGCACCTAATGTAAATGCAAGTTCAGGAATGGCCCCAGCCAAACTCATGTTTGCAAGAAAAATTAGTTTTGGTATTCAATAAACTGAGAACTACAGAAAAGAAAATGGAGGAAAGAAAAAATACCAAAATGGTAAACACTACAACCCCAGTGAAAAAATATATTTTAAGAATTATAAATTTGGCAAAGCAATGTTGGAAGAAGGAACTATTGATAAAAGAATTGGCAAAATGTTGTACTTGCTAAAACATCCAAAATGTGTGGTTAAGAGACATTTAAATAAAAAAAAAAAAAAAAAAAAAGAAGAAATACAGTGGATGTAGATCAACGCAAAGAGGAACCTATCTATGCCTCAACCAGTACAACAAAGTTGATCAAGTAAGTGAGAATGAATTCCAACCGGTATTATGGAAATAGACCCTAAAAGCCAGAAATATGTTGCCCAGGGGACATAAAAGTTTAGAGGGGAGATGTAGATTAGCTATCACCCTTTCAGTACCCTACCAGATGGCCTGGCTCATAGCCTTAAATAGTTTACAATTAAGGACTTCAACAGTTAATTAAGTTGATACTAAACTGATTAATATTCAGACTGATCTTACTTTGTTTGGCTGTGCAGCATTTGATCCTCCTCTATTCCTTGTAAGTTGTCTTGTTAATTGTTTTGTAACTTGTTGTTGTGTTTTTTGTATGTATCTGTTAGCACCGGATACTGGTGCTGAATAAATATATTAAGCACTCATTATTTGTGTATCATTCACCTCGATGATACAACATGGGCAAAAAAAAAAATATAATAAAAGACAACTAAAAGATGAAAAAATAATTTTTAAAAATGTAGAATAAATTCACAATCTCAAACAACTTGGTTTAACAACATCAAGAATATTCTTCTTAGATTGCTAAGTTGAAGTGGTTTCTGCTTTGGCTTATTCCTTCCCAATTTAAATGTCTGTAACTGTTATTACTATATAGGCACTACTCTCTGCTACTTGTTGCTGACATTTTATCATCTCCTCCTCACAGTGCAAGCATTCTCTTGAATAAGGTCAAACTGCCTTTTTAATTCCACACTACTTGGATGTTATTACATCCACTTTTGGCTCTCACTCACACACATAACCAGTACTTTACCAGCTGCTTCCTGTTTTAGTTCCTGACTATCCCCCTATTGATGAGATGTCATCTGATATCTAACTTTAATGAGTCACTGCTCAAAATATTTCCTGTTACAAAAGAAAAAATTATTGGGGAAATGCTTCCTTCTATCTCCCACAAACTGATGATAATTGGCCTAAGTCATTGTCTGTAAAATAAGATTTGAACAGTGTAGCAAAAATGTTTCTAGAGGCATTGAAATATAAAGAAGTTTAGTCCGTTGAGCATTCATTTCCCTTATGCACATCTTTTTTCAGTGGAATGTAGATGTATAGTTTTGTCACTAATCATTTTTAATCTGGAATATTTATAAGCCATCAGTGATTTAGTTGCAGTTAAAACTATCCTGAATCACTTCTGAGTAGTACAATGACAAACTTCGCTAAATACAGTACATGAATATATTGCCTATTTGTTTTGTTCCAAGTTTAAATTTGTAAGTGCTTGCCTACTATATAATCAACTTTTGGGCCACTATATTCATTTCACTCATTACTACTGTAGATCCATCCTGGGTATGACGGTAAACTACATCTGTGTCCTGGGTAAGATGATAAGTCTGAATCCAACAGCAAGGCCTGATCAGGAGGTTTTGAGGAGTGTGAAACCATCTCTTGATTGCTGGTGTTCCCAGGCCCACCCTGACCGAGAGTGGTGGCACCTGATGGGGTTCCTGCTATGGGCAAATAGTTGACACCCAAGCTGGGGTCAAAACACTGTGAAAGTGTAAAAATAGGTTTTAATACATACCAGAAATAATTTGTAAAACTTATTACCAGCAATACATTTTTAGAAAAATAAAGATATTACCAACTATAGTTTATTTTGAAAGAAAATATTACCAGCAATAAAAAAAATTGTTGGCATTAAATAACCCATTGAGGTTGATATGCTGTAAAACAAACCAAACCAAACTACTCTAGATATATTCTTCTGAAGTTTATTTGATATTAAATGACATGTTGGGTTTCATATTACTAAAAATGCTTACAGTTTCCAATCAAAATTAAAACATTAAATTTATTAGGAATCATCTTAGTCTGGTGGGATTAAATAGACAAGCTTGATCAAAGTATAGTACAGATGTAGATTATAATAAATGTTTTGCTTTAAAATACTTTGAAGCAAGAGATTCCTGAGATTTAAAGACATTAGAAAATAATTCTTATTTATACATTAGTATGCTATTTATCAATTTAGAACAAAATATATGGTTATTTGGAACCACAAACTTTAAAATGCTATAATTCAGCTCAGACATAATTGTTAAAGTAAGCATCATTAGAACTGACACAGTATTGCCAATGATCTAGTAATTAATTTATTCCCTCTCAATGTGATTCATCTAATTACTACTTGTGTGTGTGTATATATATATATATATATATATATATATATATATATATATATATATATATATATATATATATATATGTGTGTGTTTGCATTAGAGTTCAATTGCTGGTATGTATCTGTATAGGCCTGGAGCAAAGTACATAAAGAAGGCAGCTCAATCTCCAGAATAGTTTGGTTTTTTATTCTTTTTTTTTATGATACAAAATTTTTAATTAAAATTCCATTATATTTATTTTAATAGTAATCAATCTCATAAATAAGATACAATTTTTACTTAACTAGTGAGCTTTTAATAAATGGAATATGCATGCACACATACACACAAATAAAAAATAAGACATACCTGCTTTTTTTTAAAATGGTGAATGAAAAATGAAGGGTGAAGGACTTAAATTTATATATTTGTATTATTTAGTGTTAAATGGAAAAAAAAATTAGTATCTACTTATAAGAATTAATTTTATTTTAATAAATAAAGCAAGAAAACTCTTTCTTTTTTCTCTCAATTTTTGGTTAAAAAACTTGAATGAACTCTTAACATTTGTGTGTTAACTTTTCTGTTTATAAACTAAATTGAAAATACAAACAAGAATTTTAAAAAATGATAAAGACAAGATTTAGCCAAGACATGAGGTAGGTAATCATAAATTTTATATATATATATATATATATATATATATACATATATACATACTAAAACCTCTTTTTATTTTGGATAGTTGGAATGCACAAATATTCTTTATATAGAAAATGAATACATAGTGCACAATTCTTACAGTATGATAAAAGTTGCTCTAAAATGTTTATATAAAAATAATTGATTATTATAAAATTTACTTTGTTTTTGTATTTATTCATTCTTAAAACTTTAATATTTTAGCTTTTTTAATTTTTTGCTTCAACCTTTTCTACTTACATTAAAAGCAAATAAAGATTGAATGGCTCAAAATATTTATTTCTTAAACATTTTAATGGAGTTTTCATTATACTTCTAACAACTATTTTGGGCAGTTTAAAATTTTATTTGGACAGTGGTGAAAATGTTAGTCTGGAGCCCTGTGAAGCTACACAATTCCACAATTCTCCATTATCAAGTTACATGTTACAATAAAGAGCCTCTTCTTGGAGTCTATCACCAAAAACAAACTTTTGGAAACAATGGCCAATAATGAAACCAATTTGTATCTTCAAGCACTGTTGACATTAAAAATATCATTGGCAGTGCTGTGAAAAAGTGAACTCTGGGTATAATAAACAGAAAGGAATGATGCAAAAATGGCCATTTATTTTATTCCAACCTAATATAATTTACATGTATCATATTTTGTAGATTATGCTGTTCTTTTCTCCAAGCTGATTGCTAGAACTGCCAAAGATATAGATGTTGTCATTGACTCTTTACCAAGTGAAGAATCATACATGGAATTACAGGTAACATAACTTGTGTGTTCTAAATTGAATTCTGTAAACATTTTCTATCATATTGTACATTTTTACAGTTTATTGATAAAATGATGAAAAATTGCTTTTGGAAAAGTTTTAATTCATTACTATTTTGATACAGAAATAAAAATAAGCATATTCAAGGTTTTGTGTATTATTTTTGTCAGCTTCAGAATTCAGCTGCATTGTAATATATGAATTCATAAACTTCATTATATTCTTTGTATGCACAAGCACAAAAATTGCTTGTTTATATTTTAATTACAAACTTTTTATGCAACCTGTAATAGCAGAGGTATAACTTATTCAATATATCAGCACTTTATTTCAATCCAAGTACCATATATACCCAACTACAGTGCAAGTTTTTATAATCATTTTTTTTTTTATTCAAAAAATAGTGGGTTGCATGATACACGTTTTTTTTTTTTTTTTTTTTTTTTTTTAGAGGTTAAAAAAAAATAAATCAAGCATTTTCAGTGACCAGTTGCACTATGCACAGGTAAATTTTTTCTGGAGTTTTAACCACGTTTGAAAAAAATTGCATTCAAGCAAAAAAATTGAGTTGTTGCACTATACATGAAGTCAGCTTATACATGAGTATATACAGTATTACATACATAGTGACACAATGGATTCTAATAATAAGAGGGGCAATAATTTCAGTTGTATTTTAGTTCAAATTGCATTTTAACTCGTTATAACCAAGGTTTTTACCTTTCTCATTGCTGTCTGCTGGAATTTAAAATTATGATTCACTTCTTAGTCATAACATTTTCTGATGCTAAGAAAATTTACAATTTTTGATTAAAATGTGTGTTTGAGAGGAAAATGGTTAAGAATTTAGATGAATGTTATAAATGCAGAATATCACTGCCAATATTGTAAAAGACAAGGAAAACATTATTCTTTAATGGAAAGAACTTGGGGAAATATAGAATTGAATATAACTGGGTGTGGATTCAAGTGTATGATGACTAAGCCACATATGTATAGAAACAATGAACTTTATCATGAAAAATCATACTGATTTAAGTGATGGCCTTATTAGTTATTACTAATCAATAAAGGAATGTAATTATTTATAATAACTGATGTTTGATTATGTACAAATAAATATTGATTTTTTTTTTTTTTTTTTAAATTTAAAAAAAAGAAAAAGATATGACATAAAACATTAAATTTATTTTTCTTTTCTAATTTTTACTCTGGCTATTAAATTAATATATTCATCACTGATCACCTATAGCAAATACATGTAGGAAAAAAACTATAATATATCTATATTCATAGAGAATATAGATATATTATTAAACTAGAATATAATGAAATGACAATAGAACAACAGTATGATTTAAAATAATCTTCTATAACAATCCTTGAAGATGAAAACATTTAGTGAGCTCATTACAAATCTAAGTTTTCATTATTTACTTTATTCAACTGTAGCACGTTATCAGTGTGCCTTTTTCCATTATATTTTTCACTAGGTCAATACCATAAGAAATAATAATAATAATACCATATAAGAAATATAAATTTTGTTTATTTCTACACTGTCAGATTTTATCATACAAGTCAATGATGTCACAATAAAAATGGTATTAACCAACTATTATTGCTAAAAGTTTCAGGATGTATTTATATGATAAATATACTATTTGCATTTCACTTTATAATATTTGTTTTTTATTATGTATATTTAAAATAACTTATTTGGTGGTGTGAGATTTCATTATGCAACTCAAGTAAGTATCCCAAACTGTTCTATTGCGAAAACATCAAAATAGTGAAATTTCCTTACATTTCATCTTCTGATATCGCCTTTATTTTCAAGGCTATTTTGATAAAATTAGTATGTAAACAAAATTTAATATTTTCTCTTTCTAAAGATACAATTCTTTATCATGTGATGATTAGATTTTATTCTATATCTTTTTAGATTATGTGACATAATTCAATGACTGGTAGTACTTTTTATCATTTTCAAAATTGACAATTTCATATTGTGTTTTTGAAACTTGTACTCCAAGTTGTCTCCATACATATATCAAAATACTACCATCTTAACAACAACAAAAAAGGAAGCTCATCAATTTGGTTGGCTAACCATAAGTTTTAAAATTGTTTTTCACAAAACATTTCTAAGTTGAAAGAAATACGACAACAGACAAAATAGAAATAGATTTACGTGGTTTATTTCAACAGGAACGTGAGGGTTTGGGACAGCTACCTTGTGGTAAAGTTCATAAGCCGGCTTTCGGATCTAGGTCGATCTCTCATAGTAGTTCACACATGTTGACGGTGGTTGATGCTCCCCTGCTGTCAGCTGCTGAACGTGACAGGGTCTCTTCCTGGCCACCTGTTGACTGCCTGTTGAACTTCCGTGTGACCCCTTTTATAGCGATTTATTTTTTTATGGCTTAACAGGCTCGAAAAACGAAGCGAGTATAATTAGGAGGGAAGCATTTTTATTGGACGAAAAATAGAGCACTTTAAATATTATTTTATTTTTCGACCGGAACACGTGTGTCGGGAACATTTGAAAAAAGAAAGATAATGGTCATTTTGTGACGGGGCTTTGTCCCGTTCACATCCGGTTCTCGCTCTTGAGTATTTGCCTGTAAATCAGCCGAGATATGTCTTATTTTATTTTATAACAAGGCTCCCCAGATCTCGGTCTCATTTACAGTGAGCGTTATTCGTGTATATTTGGGTGATTAATTCATGATGAAAGTCTCTGAAGCGTGTGGGAAGTTGTCCTCGTGTTCTTCTTATTGGCATTTGTTTTGGTATGGGGTTATTTGCTGAATTATGTGTCCCCGAGGGATGTGGAGGAGAATGATCCTGGTGACTGTTACATGGTGGAGGCAGAGGGATTGTATTAGAAAGATGTGTTGGGCGTGGAGCCAGTCGTCTGATATGTGCATGGTGAATCCAGATTGTATCACCATCACGTTTTGCACCTGACACATCATATTGTTCGTTTTTTTATAATGGTGTAATTTCCTATCCAGGGCAGATGAGAGGATTGGGCAACAGTTGAGTGTGGCCGATGAAGTAAAAACCTTGTCGCCTACTTGTATTGGGTCCTTGTATGTGAGGCGATTTAAGCTAGTCTCAAGTTTGTGGTCAGCTTCATCGTTGGCCAGGGTGACGTGGTGGTGAACCTGCTTTAGCAGGGCATTAATTTGCATTCCATATGCTCCAGGATCGTCGCTTGTGATTTCTTTTCTGTGTAGTGTGTAGGTAGGCCGATGTTGGGGTGACGGCCGGTAATGGCATAGTGCGGGGAGACACCGGTGGCGCTGTTGGTCGTGGCATTCATGGACGAAACGACAGATTCTAGAACGTCTGTCCATTCACAGTTCCTGTCTTCGCATAACATATAAAGTGCGTTCTTCATCGTGCGATGTTGTCTCTCGATATTTCCTGAGCTTTGCGGGCGCCAAGGACAGTGAAGTTCTTGCGTGATTGACATCTGGTTACAGAATTGTCGATAGACTTCTCCAGTGAAGTGTGTGCCTCGATCAGAGGATACTATGCGTGGAATCTCTCTGTGTCGAAGGAAGAAATGGTACAATCCGCGGGCGGCGTCGATAGCACGGTCTCTCGCGCATGGTATGGCTGTAAAATGTCGGCTGAAGCTATCCAAGATGGTTAGGATGTAGCGTTTTCCCTTTGAGTTGGGCATTGTGACAAAGTCTATAAAGACGAGATCGAATGGTCTCTTTCCTCGTTTGCAGTGGCCAATGGGCCAGTGGGTACGTCTACCGTAGTTGCCCTTGCACTTAGCACACGTGTCGCAAGAATCGACATAGGCCTTGATGTCGCGGTTTTTGAATTCCCACCAGTAACTGGAAAGGAGTTCTCGCATACGGGTGACACCTGAGTGGTTGTTGCCCTCGTGTGCCTGGTAGAGGTATCTGGGTCGTAGTTTGTATGGTACAACCAATCTCGGAGAGTGTTTACTGTCTCTTATCATCAAAACGGAGGTGCCTGGTTCTAGAAAAAAATTGGTGGAAATGTTTTTTGAAAAGCGTAGCTCGGTGGTCGTCAGGATCGATATGAGGTTCGCTTGGGGTGGGTGACTGGAGGGCGCTGATGATTTTGCCAGGGCGTCGTCCTTCAGTTGTTCATCTGCGATGCCGAGGTGGTTGCAGATTCTCTCAGTGGGGATGGTGGTGGTGGAGTGATAGGCGAAGAATGCATTGGTGACGCGCTTGTGGGTGCAGGCGTTTTGTGGTGTGTGAGTTTTGGGAATGAGCTGTAAACCGTTAAACTCGCTGAGGCACCAAGATGGGATGTATACGCGGGGGTCTGAACCGCTTACATCGAATGTCCTGCCTGCCGGTGTAGGGTCGTTCGGGGCTTTCGTTTTCTTATGTCCGCAGCCTCTGCTGAGCATGTCAGCCCATACATTTGATTCGCCTTCAACATATTCCAAGACGAATTTATAACATGAAATTTCTTCTTGCCATCGTCGTATTTTGGCATTATTGAACTCTCGTTGGTCCAGATATGTCAGCGATCTGTGGTCGGTGAAGATGACGAAGGGCGGTTGCGAAGGAAATAATCAAATTTCAATATTGCCCACTTTATTGCATATGCCTCTCTTTCCGTCGTGGACCAGTTCTGTTCCGTGGAGTTGAATGTATGGGAAGCGACCGCTATGATATCTTTCTTCCCGTTGTCGGCTTCTTGCATTAAGATTGCTCCACATGCGACGTCACTGGCGTCGGTGGTGAGTGTGAAAAGTTTGGAGAAATCTGGAAACGAGATGACGGGTGGTGAAGAGAGACGGTCCTTGATTTTTTGAAGGCTCTGTCGGCATTTTGCATCCAGACAAACGGTTTATTAACCTTGTTGAGTTCGTGTATGGGACCCATAAGTTTTGAAAACATATCTGACCTGATTTGTTCGTGAAGACGTGTCTCTAGGAATTGTCTGATCCACACTAAACGGCCGATAAGGCTTTGTAATTCCTT